GCTATAGTGCTGTTAATATTTTCAGGATAATGGCCATGAAAAGCCCTTCTGTCGTATCGACTTGAGAGGATGTATTTGTGGGTAACTCTCATCAACTCTGCAGTGACTAGAGGAAAATCGTGTTAGAGAGAGAAGGAGGTGGGGAGAGGAGAGGGTGGCGGGAGAAGGAGGATCTGAGCTATTTGAGAGAAGGAAGGGAAGGTGAGTGAGGTGTGGGTGGAGACTTGGCTCTTTCTTGGCTGAAGGATTTCAAAGCTTGTAGACATTTTTCTCTTAGACATTGATTTCTGTGGCACCAACAAAGGAGAAAGGTCCAGCGGTGCAAGTGACTCACCACTGGCCAAGGCTGTGCACACATAAATGAGAACATTCTGGAAGGGCTGCGGGTCGGCTTGCGTAGGAGCATAGAGACTGCCTGGCGGTTTGAAAGTGTGAGGAGGAGGAGGAGATTTCATGAGTGACTCCAGCATTCCAGAAGTGGTGCTTCTGCTACTTCCCGGGGGGCGGGGAGGGGGAAGCCCTTCTTCAGTTACTTGTCTGTATGCAAGATAAGAAAATGGAGACTTCTGCTGCCTGCAGTGATTGTTCAGAGACTCCACTAGGGATCAGAAGATGAACACCAACTGGTCCCTTCCTTTCTGCTCTGTGTTCCAAAGCCAGCTGACGGTTTTTCTTTTTGCTGTTGCTCTCATGATGAAGTCTAAAGGAAGAGAGAGCTAAGTTGAGCTGCACCAAAATTAGACCTGTGAAACCACTCATTTCAGCAAGAATCAGAAAGGATGACAGGACACTCTGCAAAGTCATTGAAACTGCTTTAAGAGGCCAGTTGATTCTGAGGATAGCAGAAGAAAGACGTGGAAGAATCGTGAACAAGCCGACAGCTCCACGCTGTGGGGTCCAGGGACAGTGAGAACGGACGTAGCTCATCTTAGGCACAGGCGTAAGGATTCCTGACAGGGACAAGTGCTGCAGGCAGGCTGCCTGCGCTTGAGAAATGGCTTAATCAAATGGAGAGAAACCTTAAGGGTTCATGCTGAATCTACGTTAGCTACTCAAAGGGCATGCTGGCACTCCTAGAGCAGAAGGAAAAAGCTTTTCAGTGGCTGGAGAGATGGTGCCGTGGTTAGGAGCCTGTACTGTTCTTGCAGAGCACTTGAATTGGTTCCCAGTATATCTGCACGTGTGTGTGCTCACAGGTACACAACTTTTTTCAAAAACGGAGGCCAGTGTGTTGTACGCCTTTAATCTGAGCACTTGGGAAGCAGAGGCAGATGGATCTCTGAGTTTGAGGCCAACATGGTCTACATATTCCTTGTATGTTAAAGCTACTTTGTGAGACCCTGTATCAAAGATGGATGGATGGATGGATGCACAGATAGAAAGGAAAGGCTTTTGACATTATTGTCAGTAATATCAGAGCTAGCATAGTTGCACAGGGCTTTCTGAGAAACCAGTCTGGGCATGTAGCTCAGTTGTTAGTCATGTATAAAGCTCTAGGTTTGAGCTCAGTACTGCATTAACCAGATGTAGTGAGAATATATATATATATATATATATATATATATATATATATATACACACACACACACACACACACACACACACACACACACACACATACATACCTCGGTAACTCTAGTACTTGGGAGGTGGAGGTCAAGATACATGAGACCTGGCCTCACTAAAGCAGGCAGGCAGGCAGGCAGGCAGGAGGCAGGTCAGGCAAGCAGGCAGGCAGGGAAACCATGCGGAAGATGATGAGAAAGAATAAGTAGAAAAGAGGGTGAGAGGGTGGATGCTTAGGAGAAAAAGAAGATTTTGTTATAACAATGGTTCATAAGAAAAGTGTGTGTCTTTTCTAAGAGCTGTGAATTCAAAACTATTGTAATACTGAGACGTTACCTACCCTTATCATTGTAGTGAATCACATAATGGCTAACATAGTAACCATTTTTTAAGTGTAGTTGAGTGGTGGTCAGACTATTTACATTGTTACAAAACAGATCTCCAGAACTCCGCCATCTTAGAGTCTGCGACTCTCTACCCATCAAATCACGTTCCTCTCTATTCCTCCTGCCAGCCAGCCGTCCCCAGCTGTTTCCCTCTTTTTCTATGACTTTGACTCCTTTACACACCTCATCCCAGCGGAATGAATAGCGCGTTTATCTTTTGGAACTAGCGTATTTCTCTTGGCATAATGTCCTGTGGCAGCATGTAATGAGATCTTCTTCCTTTGTAGAGCTGAATAACATTTTTTTGTATGTACAGACCACGTCTTATTTACCTGTTCACCCATTGCTGGATGCTTGGGTCTTTGTTGGGATGTTGGGCCTTTTCCAACAAGTTGCCATTTGCCTGGGTGATGTAAGAGGATGTAAATTGGTGATGGCTTCACATAAATCAAGGTAGCAATACTAAACTGTTCTTGTAGTTACGGCACTCTGCTTTGTGATTACAGTTGTAGCGGGGCAGGGCATTACTGCGTTTTATTTACTGTGTGATGAGATGAGAAGTAGATATTCAACACTCCTGCAAACCGAAACTGTCATGGGGGAAATCCTCCGGCAGTTAAGCTGTGAATCTTAAAAATCTAGCTGCTTTTATCCCAGAACACTATTTTTCCCTGAAGAAAGGACTGTGAGGAAATCTGTAGTTTTCAGACTCAGGTGTTTCATATTTATTTTTAAAGATTCTTTCTTACAGCCAGATGTGGTGGTCCATGCCTTTAATCTCTGCACTCAGGAGGCAGAGTAGGTAGCTCTCTGTGAGTTCAAGATCAACCTGGTATATGTAGCAAACTGTAGGCCCAGCCAGAACCACAGAGGGAGACTCTGTCTCATAAAGGGGAGGATATGTGGGTAGAGAAATGGCTCAGTGGTTAAGAGCCCTGGTTGCTCTAGCAGAGGACCCAAGTACCCACATGGCAGCTCACAAAGGCCTGCAACTGCAGTTCCAAGGTACTCAGTGGCCTCTTCTGGGGTCCGTGTGCATCAGCCCTGTACATGGTACACACACACACACACACACACACACACACACACAAGTGCAAAAATGCAGACACAAAGTAATACATATATCTTAAAAATGAAAAAAAAAATTGGCATACAAAGGTTTAAATCTTGGGCCTCGTACATGCTAGGCCAGCGGTCTACCATGAAGTTACACCCTTCACCTGTAGACCTTTTCTTGAAAATGAGTGAGATAAACCTGATACCTCAAAGAAAACAGATGTCAGGACTTAGTGGAAAAAATTTGAGCTTCCAAGTGGGAGTTAGAATCTAGTTCATCTTTGCAGCTGTGAATTTGGGATTTCCCAGTACCTTAAAGATTTTTATGAGAAACATTGGTGTGATGTTAGTGAATTTTTTGAAAATTCACCGTAATGTGAATGTGAAATGTGTCAACTTTAGGAAGATTTGCATTAAATCATTGAGTCAAATTTCTTTTCTAATAATGATGTTAAAGAATCATGCCTTGTTGCAAAAAGCCATCCTTTTGTAGTGTAAGATAAACCAATATATTTTAATGTAACAGAATATATTTTTTTTTTCCGAGTAGGGTTTTTGTGTTGCCTTTGTTTAGTTAGTCTGTTTTTGTTTTCCTTTTGTTTCGAGACAAAGATTTTACTATGTAGCTTTGGCTGGCCGGGAGCTCACTATGGTAGACCAAGCCTTGAATTCACAGAGATCTACTTGTGTCTACCTCTAGAACAGGTCTCGGGATTAAAGACCTGTACCAACATGCCTGGCCTGTTAGTTTTTGTTTGTTGTTGCTGTTTTGGTTTTTTGTCAGCTTGACACAGGCTAGATTCTTCTGGAAAGAGAAACCTAAATTGAGAAAATGTCTCCCTAAGATTGGCCAGTTGGCAAGTCTGTGAGGCACTGTTTGGATTAATGATCAACGACAGAAGGCCCAGACTGCTGTGAGTTGTGCCACCTTTGGTAGGTGGTCCTGGGTGGTGTTAGAAGTCAAGCTGAACTAAAGTTCAAGGAGCAAGCCGGTAAGCAGCACTCCTCCATGGCCTCTGCATCAGCTCCTGCCACCAGGTTCTTACCTTGAGTTCCTTCTCTGACTTCCCACAGTGATGAAATGTTATCTGAAGTAGTAAGATGAAATAACTCTTTCTTGCCCAAAGTACTTTGGTCGTGGTGTTTATCACAGCAGTAAAAGCCATAATGAAGGTAGTTTTAGATTCCAGTTACAGCAAATCTCAAAGAAACTCTACCTGTTTCAAGCTACAGTATAGAGACAGAGTGTCTGCAGCGTTCTGAAAGTCTGTCAAAACTACTTCATGGTCTGAGGATGTAACCCGCTGATACAATGCTTGTCTAGCCCATGTGAGACCCTAGGTTTAATTAGGTCTTTTGGGTAGTCAACCAATTAAATAAATAAAAAAAATTAAAAAGAAAGAAAATCTTATTCCTTTTGCAGTCAGTGTGAAAGGCTAGGCTATCACACACTCAACTAATGTGTGTCTGTAGCACAGCGAATACCAAAGCAAATGTGAGAAGTTAATCAAGGCACAAAAGACATTTTCGAAATTATGAAACAATACCACTCTTTCTATTTCTTGTTTCAGGAAGTGTAGCATAGATATGTATGTATATATGTAATATAAAGATGTGGTGTTAGAATGAATTTATTGTTGTTAGCTACATGAATTAATATTTAATATTTAAACATTTGCTGGGTCTGGTGGCACATGCCTTTAATGCCAGGACTTGGAAGGCAGAGGCAAGTAACCCTTTGTGAGTTCAAGGCCAGCTCCAGGCCAACCAAGGCTACATAGTGAAACCTTGTCTCAAAAACCAAAACCAACCAAACAAAAACATTTTTTTTTTTACTTTATTTTGTGACATACCATGTATACGTAGCTATAACTCAAGTAAACAAAAGCTTGGCCCGTAGGACGTGTAAGATGTTGGTGAAGACTCCTGGGCAACTGAAGCAAGCGCTGGTACTCGTCGTGGACCTAACTCATTTTATTTTCTCCTTCTTAGGTATTTGGCGCGTGTAGGAGACCTCGAAGCCACCAACACAGAAGACCCAAATCTGAGTTATGGACTCGTGGTGGACTGTGGCAGCAGCGGCTCCCGGATTTTCGTTTACTTCTGGCCAAGGCATAATGGGAACCCCCATGACTTGCTGGACATCAAACAGATGAGAGACCGGAACAGCCAGCCTGTGGTTAAGAAAATAAAGCCAGGTATTAATCAGAATGAGTTTTGTTGTTAATCTTTAACCTGGTCTGGGCGTCAGAAAGGAAGGGAGGAAGGAAGCGTCCCTTGTCTTTGTGGTGATCTGGACAGTGAGAGGAATCTCCAATTCATTGTCATCTTGCTTCTTTCAAAACCATACATGTAGGTCCTTCCACAGAATCTTTTTGTTTGGTTGTTTTTGGTTTTGTGTGAGACAGGGTTTGTCTGTGTAGCCCTGGGTTTCCTGGAATTTGCTCTGTAATCCAGGCTGGACTCAAAGTCAGAGATCCACCTGCCTCTGCCTCCACAGTGCTGGGATTAAAGTATTGCACCACCACCAGCCAGCTCCTTCGGCAGAATCTTACGAGTGTTCATTTTTTAAGTATTATGTAATCTATATTTAAACATATATGTGTGTGTGTATACATATATAGACACACATATGTCTCTCTATATATTTTCTGTTTTTGTTGTTTTGTTTTTCTTAAGGGATCTCCGCAATGGCAGACACTCCGGAACATGCTAGCGATTACCTTCGACCTCTGCTGAGCTTCGCTGCCGCTCACGTGCCCGTGGAGAAGCACAGGGAGACACCACTTTACATCCTCTGCACAGCGGGCATGAGGTTGCTTCCCGAGAGGTGAGATTCAGGACTTCACAGGACTTAGGGAAGCGAGTCCCCTGCAGCCAGGATGGAGGCAGGTGAAGGCTCGGCACACAGAGTTCACAGGGGGCAAAGGCAGCTTGCTCAGAAGCAGGGTAGAGCCATCTCTGTACCCAGTTATTGCATGATCAGACAGTCACATCTTTGTCATTTGCTGCTTTGGGATCAGTGTCTATCTGAGATGACGAGGGGCTTCTGAGTTTGGATTGAGAGTGTGGTGGCAATTGGGAGTGGTGGCAGTGGTGGCAGAGTGGTGGCTGGGTCATGAAGCAGGTATGCAGAGACCATATTTGCACAAGAGCAGAAGGAGGCTCACCCGGGGAGACTGGAGCAGCAATGCAGCCTTCTCTATCTCTACCTACGTCCTGTGATGACTACTTGGTCCCTCCTCTCCCTGCTGTGCAAACCTCAGTCTCTGTTCCTTTAGCTAGCTTTCCCAGCCCCGACCAGTGAGAGCTTGTCCCCCGAACTCAAATCCAGCCTGATATCGCGACCCCTGATCCTTCTTACATAAGCGTGCGAGAGGGAAGAGGATGCTATATTTAGGTCAGACACCTCCTCGTTTGTGACTTTTCCTCTCTGACGCCTCCTGGATCCCAGAACGTTTACTGTGGACCTGGTGCGAGAGTGAACTTCCAGAGTCTTGGTTTTTCATAATTGTAATGTATTTATTTATTTTTAATTTAATTTTTTAAATGATTTTTATTATATATATGACGTGTACACTGCGGCTGTTTTCAGACACACCAGAAGAGGGCATCAGATCCCATTTCAGATGGTTGTGAGCCACTATGTGGTTGCTGGGAATTGAACTCAGGACCTCTGAAACAGCAGTCGGTGCTCTTAACCACTGAGCCATCTGTCCAGCCCCCCATAATTGTGTTTTAATTGTGAGAACACGCTGCCTTATACTCTGATCACTATGATACGTACCCAAGAGAAGCAGTTTTAAAGAGAAAGAGTTATCCTGAGCCCAGTTCTCATCCGGAGCTAGATGTATTATTTATAGACCTGTAGTGAGGCAGATACCATGGCGGAGGGCAAGGGGGGAACACAGTGGCTTATCTCGTGGGCACAAGGATGGAGAGCCAGAGAAAGAAGGCCCTGCAACAAGAAACCCCCAAGGATGTGCCTCAGTGAACTGCTTCCTCTTGTTAGCCCTCACCTCCAAAAGTTTCTATCACTTCCCAGTGATAACAGTGTCAACAGATCAACCTAGAGATGGTGTCAGCATCCTCATGACACAGCTTCCTCTCTGTGATTGAGCCCACCAGCCGGGGAGGCAGTTGTTGGCACACAAGCCTTTTGGGGAAGTGCATTGTATCTAAGCTGTATCTAAGTAGGTTAGGAGGTGTCTGACCTAAATACAGCATCCTCTTCCTTCTACTCTTCTTTAAGAAGAAAGACCAGGATTCAGGATGTCAGGCTGAAGCAGGTTCATGCTTAACATGAGCTCTGTTGTCTTAATGAAGTTTTTTACCCCCTCATATTTCTTTTTTTAATCTCTCGGTGTGTGGGCACACTTGAGAGCAGTTGCTTGCGGAGACCAGAATTGAATATCCGATCCCCTAGACCCAGGGTTACAGCAGGTGTGAGCCACACGGTGTGGGCGCCGAGAAATGAACTCTGGTACCCAGCATGAGGCTTGGTTGCAGTCCCTGAATGAGTTTTTAAGTCTATGAATACATTGTTGGCTGTGTACAGTGCTACACAGCAGACCTCTATAGTGTGCTTGTATATATACCGCTGGCTGTGTACAGCGCTGCACAGCAGACCTCTATAGTGTGCTTGTATATATACCACTGGCTGTGTACAGCGCTGCACAGCAGACCTCTATAGTGTGCTTGTATATACACTGTTGGCTGTGTACAGTGCTGCACAGCAGACCTCTATAGTGTGCTTGTATATACACTGTTGGCTGTGTACAGTGCTGTACAGCAGATCTCTATAGCGTGCTTGTCTTGCTTCCCTTAAGCTCTATGTCCTTTCCATAGCCTAGCGTCTACAAGGTTCATTCATGTTGGCTGGCACTCCTTGCTTTCTGGGTATACTTTATAAACCCTTCACCTGTCTAGACAGTCAGGTCATTTTAATTTATGGTGGTTATAAATAATGCTGCCATGATTATGCACGAGCAAGTGAAAATCTGTTTTCAAGATCTGCTTTCAAGATCCTCAAAAATAATGATAGATATTCTCTCTTTGTTGTTATGTTTGTTTGTTCATTTGTTTTGTTTGTTCTTTGGTTTTTTGAGACAGGGTTTCTCTGTGTACTCCTGGCTGTGTACTCTGTGTACTCTGTAGACCAGGCTGGCCTGAAACTCAGAGATCCATCTGCCTCTGTCTCCCAAGTGCTGGAATTAAAGGTGTATGCCACCACTGCAGGCTTTTTCTTTTTTTTAAACAAACAAACAAACAAACAACCCCCCCTAAATACAAAGGTGCTAGGTTGAATGCAGAGCCTAGCTAGGCAGGTGCTCTACCACTGAGACTTTGCCCCCAGCTATCTATTATCTATCCATCTATCTATCTGTCTATCTATCTATCTATCTATCTATCTATCTATCTATCTATGTTTTTATTTGTTTGTTTTTATGTTTTTGTTTTTTTTTCGAGACAGGGTTTCTCTGTGTAGCCCTGGCTGTCCTGGAACTCACTCTGTAGACCAGGCTAGCCTTGAACTCTCGAACTCAGAGATCCGCCTGCCTCTGCCCTCCCAGATTAAAGGCGTGTGCCACCACCACCCGGCCTATCTATGTTTTTAAAAGGTTTATTTTTGTTCTGTGTGTATGATTGTTTGCCTCCATGTATGTCTGTGCACCACATGTGTGCAGAGCCCACAGAGGTCAGCAGAAGGCATCAGGTCCCCTGGAGCTAGAGGTTACTGATGGCTGTGGAGGCTGAGACCCAAACCTGGGTCCGCTGCAAGAGCAGCCATTGGTCTTAACCATTGAGCCAACTCTCGAGCCATCATATGTACTTTTAAAGCTTGTCTTATAACATTGTGCGTGTGTGTGTGTGTGTTGCAAGTACCTGGATGTTGTTTTCTGCTGCTGCTGTATCATTTTGTATCTCCACTGTCAAGGGTTCTTGTTTTTCCTCATCTCCGCAAATACTTTTTGTTTATTTGTTTTTCTGGCAGCAACTACCCCAGCAGGTGTGAATAGCAGTTCACTGCAGTGCTCTTCCCCAGCAGGTGTGAATAGCAGTTTCCTGCAGTGCTGTTCCCCAGCAGGTGTGAACAGGTACAGTTCACTGCAGTCCTGATCCCCAGCAGGTGTGAATAGCAGTTCACTGCAGTGCTGATCTCCAGCAGGTGTGAATAGCCATTCGCTGCAGTGACGATTTGTATTTCTCTCATGAGGACCTTAAGAATTTCTCATATTCCAGTTGGCCATTTGTTTGTCCTTAGAGTAACCTGATCAAGTCCATAGTCCCATTTTAAAATCAGGTTGCAGGCTTCTTTCTGCTACGTTGTAAAAGTCTCCTCTGTGTTTTGAGGACTGAACCCTCCCTGCCTCCTCTCCCCACCACCCCCCCCCATCAGATGCAGCCTGTAGATGCTTCTCCTATTCTGTAGCTTGCCTTTCGTTTTGTTGGTTGTTTCCAGAGCTTTTTGGTTTGGTGTCTTCCCGCTTGTTGACTTTGGTTTTGAAGCCTATGGTTTCTGTGGCATACTGAGCATGGTGCCAGCACTGACGTTGGCACTAAGCCTCCGGGAATGAGCTAGTCTCATATGCATTGGGCATTTCTCATTAGTGGAAATATTTTGTCCTTGGTAAATAGCAGTTTGCTTTTCCCACACATTTAAACTTTCTCACTTGGTATTTCTTAAAACTGCAATAATAAAACCCCTAGCTGTTGATGAAGGGCCTAAATCTCGGTGCGGCAGGCAGTATGATTGCCCCACAGCATGGTGCTCGGTGGACTCCTTGCATCCTCTGTGGACTGTGAGAGGCAGACTATTTATGTAGTCCTTGTTCCTATGAGAGGCCTTCGAGCTTTCTACAGAATTTCATTTTGATGTTACAAGCCGCACGTTAAATGTTAAAGCTGAAACCTTACATCATTAGCGAAGTCCTAAAAGTACACCAGGACCAAAAAAAACTTGTTTGTTCTGCTTCCCAGCCTTTTCATTTTGTGTCAGTGCCTTTTCTTTGTGTATCTCTATGTAATTGCTACAGAACTATAATCATCCTATAAATCACACTATTTATTTTAGACAGGATCTCACTATAGCCTCAAATTCATAGAGATCTAGTTGTCTCTGCCACCCTCGTGCGGAGATCTAAGGCATTCAGCCAAGACAGAGCTTTATGTAGTTCTGTCTGGTCTCTAACCGTGTAGCTGAGGGGGACTTTGAGTCTGCGCTCTTTCTGCCTCCATCTTCCAAGTGCTGGGCTTAGTGTCAGGCGCGCTCCATCATGCACGCTTAGCTGGTTTACTGTGGCACTAGGGCCGAGCCGAGGGTGAGCCGAGGGTGAGCCGAGGGTGAGCCGAGGGCAAGCTGAGGGCAAGCCGAGGGCAAGCCGAGGGCTTCGTTCACACTCGGTCAGCACCATGCTAACTGAGCTACGTCTTCCACTCCTACAATTTTTTGTTTTAGATTTATTTTATTATTTTATGTGTATGAGTATTCTGCCTACACGTAGGTATGCATTCCACATGTGTGCCTCGTGCCCACGTCGTTCAGAAGGAGGGCATCAGATTCTCTAGGACTGGAGTTACAAGTGGTCATGAGCTACCATGCAAGTGCTGGGAATTGAACTCAGGTCCTCTGTAAGAGCGACAAGTACTCTTAGTCACGGAGCCAACTTGCCAGCTCCAGATTTTTGTTTTTTGAAGTAAGTAATCCATCCGTTCTTTAAGAACTTTTGAAGCCCTGGGAAGAGGATGGGGGCAGTAGGTGAGCATGCTGGATCACAAAGTCAGCGGGTGGCGGCAGCCTCACCACCCAGGCTGCGGGAGGAAACCAGGGCAAAGGGCAAACTGGCAGAGCCACCCAGCCGGGCTGGGCACAGGAACCTGGTTGGTGATTTGGTCACCATTTGCGTGTCAGGGGCAAAGTAGACAAGACATCTCCTGGCACTGCCCAGCATTCATTGCCTCTGTCACGGAAGTTTCCATGGCAACAAACTCCCTGTGTAGGTCCACTGTGTTCTTCTGTGATAACGGTGAGTGCAGACACTCGGGCTGTTAGTCTTTACTGTGCTGAGGTTTCTCAAGCGTGGTCCTTCGCTTCACTTCTTTTCTGATCGCCTTTTGGGCATGCACGTGTCCGTTCTGGGCTCAATGATGTCATGGCTGCCGCTAAGGCAAGTTAGTTGGAGATCCACATCTGCCCGTGACTGTAAGAACCTGCTTTGTATGAGTAAGGCCCTGCTAGTTCATTAGCGTCGTGAGTAATGCTCATGAATCATCTGGACCGCATTTGAATTTGTTTGCACTTGGCCAACAAGCAGACAGAAATTTTCTACTTCCCTTTTATAATGGAAATACCCTAAACAATTGCATAAAGGTATTTACAGTATCATATTTAGTTTAAATTTTTTTTAAAATTTTGAGATTATAATATTACAACATTTCTCCCTTGCCTTTCTTTCCCCCAAACCCATATATCTCTCCTTATCCTCCTTCAAGTTCACGGCCTCTTCTCTCTTTCACTGTTATTATACGTGTTCATATCTATATACATATATAGTCCTAAAAATTACTCGCTCAGTGTGTATAGTATTATTTGGGCTGACCATTTGTCATCGGACAGCCAACTGGTGTTCTCTTCCCTGGGGAAGACCACCTTTCCTGCTCCCTATTTCCCTCAGTTGCCTCCACCCCTCTGTGTAGGGCTGAGGCCTGTGGGCTTTCCCCTGTCCGCTTTGGGATGCTCAGTTCGTGTTTTGGAAGTCGTGTTGGTGAGACCTTTTTTTCTTTTTTTTAACCGTAGGACATTTCACTATGAAAGTAGATGGGACAGTGGGTCTTCTCTGTAACCCAGGGCTCTGCTCTGCTGGGTAGTCCTGAAGTTTGGCCACTAAGTTTAAATAAGGAAACAATCTTGAAAATAAACATTACATTCCTGTGCAGCACATGAGGAGGGTTTTTTTTTTTTAATTTCTTTTGAAAACTTTAAGGTTTTATTTGTATTTTTAATTACACATGTCTATGTGGTTATGGGCACATGAGTGCAAATTCCTGGGAGACCAAAAGCCAGAGCCACAGGCGGTTCTGACACTTGATGTTGATGCCGGGAACCAAACCCAGCCCATCTGCAAGAGCAGCAACCACTCATAAATTCTGAGCCATCTCCAACCTCTGTTTTTATTTTTTAAACAAACTCAAGACAGTATATTAAGAATCTTTTCATGGTATCATGTAGAAGTATAAATTGACCTCTTTCCTCTTAACGTCACTATGGTATTAATTTCATTACACAGATGCTCCATAAATTACTTAACTGATTTCCTTGTTAGCATGTTAGTTTTCCCTGGTTACTATGATAAATAATATTATAGTTACTTTAAAGTATAGTGGCTTGGGGCTAGAGACATGGCTCATTAGTCAAGAGCACTTCTGGCAGAGGACCCGGGTTTTGTCCCTAGCACCTACATGATAGTCACAGTCATCTGAAACTCCAGTTCCAGGGCATCTGATGTCTTCCTCTGACCTCCATGGGCACCAGGCTCACATGTGGTACACATACGTGCATACATACATACATACATATATACATGCAGGCAAAACACTGATACACACTGAATGAAATAAATTCTAAAACAAAAAAAAATTTAAAGTATCCTGGCTGAATAAAAGGTTATACTTACACTGTGGCGTTCACCCTTCCCTGTTACTAGCAGGAGGACCAGCAAGCCCTCCCCTTTGAGCTGTTCAGAAGCATACACAACTCAGAGAGATGGGTAGCCCCTCGTTACCCTGTGAACCCTAAAAGACTTTATCATGTGTAATAGTTAACAACTTAAGACACTGTATATGAGAGTGTATTGGAAAATTAGTTCAGGTATAATTCTGTACTTTTAAGCGGTAGCTTCACATCGACAGTTATCCAACCGAATAGACTATTCCTGTAATAGATTACTCAGAGTCCAAGATGAGCTGGGGAGAGGGCTCCGTTGCAAAAGTACTTGCCTTACGAGGATGAGGCCTTGAGTTTAGATTCCCCAACCAAGTGTAGTGGTGCATGCCTGTCACCCCACATGCCTGTAAACCCAGTGCTGGACTGCAGAGACAGGAGGATTCCGTAGAGTCTTGCTGGCCAGCCAGTCTAACCAAACCAGAAGGTTTCAGGTTCACTGAAGAGACCCAGGCTAGAAAACACTAGTATAGAGGGCTGGAGAGGTGGCTTAGTGGTTAGGAGCACTTGTTGTTCTTGTGTAAGACCTGGACCCTACTCTTGACACCCACATAGTGGTTCACAGACATCTGTAACTTCAGCCTCAGGGGATCTAATGCCCTCTTCTGACCTCCACAGGCACCAAGCATGCTTGTGGTACATATACATATGTGTAGGCAAAGTATGCATAAAATGAGTAAATCTAATGTTTTTAGAAAGAAAGAGACTAGTTGAAGAAGACACCAGTGCTGACTCCGGGCCTCCACATATGAACATGAACACACACACACACACACACACGTATGCACATGAACACACATGCACACATGTGCAGTACAAATCTGGGATGACTACTGGCCTCATTTTTAACTAACCTTTTCCTTGGATTCATACTATTATCCTTTGCTTTGTTTATTTTTACTTTGTCTAATAATCCTAGGAAACCACTTAAAACCTCAGGAGAAAAATACCTGCATAGATACTAAATTTCAAATGTCATCCTTGAAATGGAAGTTCTTATGAACTTTGGGTTTTGAACCTCACCTGGGATTTTTAAATGATAAGATTTTTAAGCAGAAAAAAAGTCAAACCTTGGAATGTGGAAAAGGAGATTAAAAAGTTAATTGTTAGCTTACATGAAAGGTTATGTAAAAGCCTGTAGAACTCACAGTATAGACGGTGTAGTCAGGGGGCGTTTTCTGCATTGTGTAAGCTCTGAGGGTGAGTTTGCATTCTGTAATTGACTTCTTCCTCTCATAGTGGTTAGGAATAATGTAGTTGTATTTTATAGACCGTGAATATGTGCTGTGATTTCCTGACTACTCATCCTCTCCCAGAGGCATGAAGCCGTGTGCTCCTCACTCAACACGGTTTGAGCTACAGCATTATTTAAAGGGTTGCCTTTGAGTAGGAGCCTGTTCTTTGCGTGCAGTTTGAACCTCTAAAATCAAAGTAGGAACCAAAAGGGCGCAGAGATAGACAAGGGCACGCGGTAGGTGGACAGGCATCGTGACACGTCTAAACGGAAGGCAGTTTGTGAAAACAGGTTTTCATTTTGCTTAAGAGATGGGACTCACTATGTTCCCCAGGCTAGCCCTCGACCCCTGGACTCAAGCACTCCTTCTCCCCTCGCCTCAGGGGCCACCTTGGTGCCAGGTGAAAAGATGGTTAATAATTAACTTTGGGATTTTTTGTTCTCTTCTGCAGGCAGCAGTTGGCTATCTTGGCAGATTTAGTGAAAGATTTGCCGTTGGAGTTTGACTTCCTCTTTTCACAGTCTCAGGCCGAAGTGATCTCTGGGAAGCAGGAAGGTACTGAACTTGTGGGGGTGTGGGGGGGGAAGCTGGGCTGGGCGGGGCAGAGCTGGGCGGGGCAGAGCTGGGCGGGGCAGAGC